TGCATGGGGTAAGGCTTCTGGTTCTAACTGTGCACCTGTCCCGAGGAGATACCAGGGAGCTTCTGCCTTCCCGCCTGATAAATGAGTTAAGGATGTTTAGACTTGGCTGTTTGCATAGCCTCTAGAGAATACTTTTTACAATGTATAATCCCTGTTTTGATGCCCCTGGAAATAAAGCAAATTTGATGTATTAGAAAATCTTTATGAATAAGTGTCATTAGGATATATAGTAGGATATAGCAGGGATAAAGCCAAAATAGAGAGGGTAAGGAATGTTGGCTTGGTGATTTTAGAACTTGGAAGCACAATGTCCAGGAGAAGTTCCTCCCTCCTCCAGTAACATGGTTAAATTTCTAGGGGGGCTGGCTGGTTAGCTCCATTGCTTAGAGCGTGGTGCTGATAAAACCAAGGTCTAGGGTTTGATCCCTGTACTGGCTAGCCACCAAAACCAAAAAACAGAACAAAACAAATTTCTAGGAAAATCACGTGGGAAATCTGCAGGCTTGTCTTCTTTGGACTCCTAAGGATAGACCTTCATCTGCTTGGTCTAAGTGAAGGAAGACTGCCTGTGAGCAGACGGATTGATTAGGTAACTGCTAGTCCCACACTGTAACTTTTTAGGTCCACATTAAAAAATAGAGCTACACATTTTAAGCAAAGTATTTCAAAATATTTAGATGAGCAGATATCTGGAGTTTGCAACTAGGAAAGTATTTATTTTGTCCTATTCCGCTTAAGTGAACCTGGCTCATATTGGCAAATACATGCTGGCAATTGACAAGATGCTCCCCACAGGTATTGGCTGACACTGGGGAGTTTATCTTGGTTGAGTGACATCCCTGTTTGGGCCACTATCTTTATTCCATTGCTGGCTAAAGCCTCAGGATTGACAGTCTGGTTTTGACATCCATTTCCAACTGGCCCTGACACCCTCCCACCCCCTGAGGACATGGTACCTGAATTTCCTCACTGGCCTCACCACTGTAATTTTCTCCTGTTGATAGCCCCCCATCCTGGGCCCCAGGGAACTGAGTGAAGGACTGCCTGG